TGCAGACCCAGCAAAGATGCACACATAACTAAAGTTGCCTGATGATGAAAACCGACTCTAGCAGCACATATAAGGTGCTTCAGGAATCTGGCCTTGCTTTCTGGAATGTGGAGGGGAATGCAGTCTTCTGGCCTTTGTACATGTGTGAGCCTATGGTTGGTTTGTCAGTAGCATCCTGGCTGGGTTTTTCTGTGACATAATTGGGCTGTCCTGGTTCTGTTCCCACTGACAGTCTGCTGGATGGTCATTCATGGAGGAAATGCTATTGTTTTCAGGCAGCCTGAGCTCTGTGTTTTGGTGAAAGACCATTCGGCCTGTACACAGCGCCGCTCCCTGCCAGACCCCCTGAGAAAACATTAGCAGCAGATCCTTTCACAGAAAAGCCGCTCAGGTCATGACATCATGATACAGATTCTTATCCCAAAACACAGGAGTTAGTAGCCACAGAGAACCAAGCCTCAGGCTAAGCACCCAGGGCTCAGGGTACACAAGCCCTGTGTTTGACACAGTTGGATCTAGGCCCTGTCTCCCGGTCTATTGCTATCTGCCAGAAATATCCTGGGGTGGTGCCCTAAGAAGGAAACCCCCCTCACTCTTTCTCTCTCTCTTTCTCCTACCCTTCTCTCTTTCCTCTCTTTTCCTTCTTCTGTCCTCCCTCCCTCCCCCTCTTTCTATCCTCCTCCCTCCTCGTTCTCTGCCCCCATTCACCTGTGTGTATGTTGTAGAATGTAGCTGCTGCTACTTCTTCCTCATTTCTTGGGGTGGAGAAAAGGCACGACACGGCCCAAAAGATGAAGAGCTCCATTCTTGTCCCAGCAGAGGCTCGGAGTTGACCTCTCTCCCTAGCAATGCCACCTCAGCTTCCTAGACCAGATCTAGTCCCCGGTGTCCCTCTTAAAATCCTCGAACATGACATACTTCTGGTGCTTCCAAGAAACCACTGCTAGCTGAAAAGGAAGTTCCCCATGACAGCCACTGGGGATTATCAAAACTCATCAGCCAACTGCTCTAAATTCTACTTGTGCGGTTCTGCCAGGCAACCACACACCTTCTGCTTTCCAGGCACTGGAAACCTACTTCCTGGTCTCTCTGGGATCCAGTGGGGCCAGGCGGTCAGCTTGGATCAACAGATTGTGGGACACTTGTGAGCCAATAAGATATGTATCACTTTGGGATCATAATATCACCTGCTTGAGGGAAACCCTCCATTGCATCTGCATCCATACCCTGTAGTGGTGTTGGCAGCAGATGAGAGCTTGCATCCTGGGAGAAAGGGGAGGGACTAGCCACTCTAGCCACACTGTGGGAGAGGCTTGTTTTTGTGAGAAATGCAGTGGTATTTCAGATCCTCATGCCTTACTTTGTTGCATTACTGGCAGTGACATTTCCCTGAGTCACACAAGATGGTCTGTATTAGAAAGAGAAGTGACGGGACAAAACGAAGCGGAGATACTGTCTCATATATTGATTCTAAAACAGATATGCAAATCATACCTATTTTTTTCTGGCTCTAAAAAATCTGTATATTCACACAGATATTTTACAGTTTTTTAAAGAGAAAGAGTGAAAGATAGATCAGTCTGTTATGTAAACTTCAGTTGGACTCCCAGCAACCATATTTAAAAGCTAAGCATGGCCATGGCTCCTTGTTAAGTTGTATGTAATAACCCTGCCGTATTGTTCAACTGTATAGAATAAACTATATGCTGAACTTCCGGTGCTGTGGCTTCTCCATCAGGGAGCCCAGAGCTCCCCATCCCTGGCTTTCTGTCTTCCTGTGTCTTGGTCACTGTTCCATTGCTGGGAAGAGACACAGCAACTCTTAGGAAAGAAAGCATTTGATTGGGAGCTTGCTTACAGTTTCAGAGGCTTAGTCCATGGCAGAGAACACGGTGGCACACATGGCAGTGGACCAGTAGCTGAGAGTTACATCCTGGTCCACAGACAGGGAGAGCTGACACTGCCTGGCTTGGACTTTTGAAACATCAAAGGCACCAGTGAATACACCTCCTCCAACAAAGCCATACCTACTCCATCAAGGCCGCACCTCGTAATCCTCCTACTCCTTTCAATAGTGCCCTGCCCTGGTGACTAAGCATTCAATTATGTATGAACCTATGGGGGTCATTCTTAGTCAAACCACAACACAACTATGTGTCGCAGCCTGCCCAAGCTGATACATGACACTATTCTCCTCTATCTGCTACCAACCAGATATTGTCCTAAGCCATGGTCAATTGTCAAACAAGGACAACAGCAAAGTCAGGCTCTGCCTAGCATGGTGCAGCTGATATCTTGAGAGCAACCAAAACACACTCACCCTATAAGAAAAAGGAGGCCATCTTTGGGCAGGCTGTGACACATAGTTGTGTGGTCAAATGCTAGGCTAGATGTTGCTGTGAAGGCAATTTATCGACGTGGCTAAAATTAATATTTAAAAATTAACTTAGTTTTAATCGCCTTTAGAAGATGACCTCAAGTATGTACCTTGAAAATACTGTGACACCCAATCAGTCCAAGGTCTTAAGAACAATCTAGGTTTCCTGAGGACAGAGACATTTTGCCTCAAATTGAATGATAAATGCTGCCTCAGTTTCCTGTTTATTTGTTGGCATGCCCCATGGATTTCAAACCTGCCTCACAGGATTTGGACTTCCCAGTAATTATGTGCACTAACTTCTTAGAATAAAGAAGCTAGCGGGTCCTTTTCTACCTTTCAAACAATCTTTACATCTATCTCCTACAGATTCGATATCTCTTGGATTCTTGACTGACAGAAACAAGTAATTTTTTATAGTAGTTTCATGAGCAATAAAAGACATTCCCACTATACACACTGAAGTTTAGGGGTCTGGTTAACTGATATTACAGTAAAAGAGATGGTAGGGATGTGGTTAGAAACAGCTACTCCTGCCAATCTTCCAAAGACGTCCTAAAGCAATGACACTTTGGTTAAGTTTACAGAAAGCATCTGATGACATTTGTATGAGAAATTCCTCATGTTGAGGACAGGAAAAAAAATCGAGGCTTCTGTTATGAATGACCACAGTTTCAGTTTTATAGAATGATAGATTGTTGGAACTGGAAAGAAACTCCAAGAGTCTTTTCACCATGTTCCCCATTTTTCCCCAATAACCCTGAAGCTGAGAGATAATAGGGGACTTGCCTGGGCTCAGAGGGCTGGGCTCACATGAGGACTCTGGCCTCCTGGCCCCTGTGTTACAGTGATGTTCAGGATGACGTGCTGGGGATGGCTGAGCCAAAAGCTCACTCTCACCTAGCCTCAGTGTGCTGCCTGCCGAAACACCACAGTCTGTTTATGCTGCAAGTCAATGCCTACTGTCGATGGAGGAGGCATCATGGACAAAGACCTTTTAGTGTCCCGTGGACTTATTTGTTGTAACTAGTAGAGGGGACAGAAGAGTGACAGAAGAATGCCTGCCGTGTGACACGAGGTGTGCAGCCAGGTCTGCTGGTTTCTTTAGCTCTGCATTCTGAAAGGCTAGCTCAACAAGTGCACTTAGTGCTAGCTGGTGGAAGGCAGCACTCCCTGTTCACAAGCTACACAGGGGGCTTTGGATCAAAGAGCTAGAAATGTTTATCAACACAAGCCCAGGACTGTCCGTGGTTTGCCCTCAGCAACTCCCGAGGCTGGTGAATTGCATCTCTGGGAAAATGGTCCTGAGTGCAGAGGGCTGTGTCCCCACCGCTGTCTATCTCCTGAAGATGGCCAACTGTGTCTCAGGTCAAGAGTAGCAAGGTGGAAGGGAGAAGATTAAAAACTGACCTGGTTTTCAAACACTCACAGAGGCAAAATACAGTATCCATATTTCACTTCACAGGGTGGATGCCTTTCTGGTTTTACCAAGAAAGGCCAGTCTGTTGGTACCCAGCCCACATGTGACAGAGGCAACTGAGAGTGTCACCTATGGAGAGGAATTTGGATCATTGCTGTGGGATACCTAGGTTCCAGAAGAGAGGGGTCTGAAGGGTCTTGGAATTTGAACAACAGGACCTGAAAATTAGGGCTGGGGATATCCTGAAAGGGTCTGTCTTCACCTCAAACACGTGAGGCATATAGGGTTCTTAGGAAACCTGGCCAACACACTGGAATCCAGAGTCTGATGTCATATAGAAATGTCTTAAGGCAGCTAGAGAATATAGGAAAACCAAGAAGACTGCTAAACTCACTGTGCAAACAATCTCAGACAGCCCAGCAGCAAGGCTAGATAGATCATGCTGGAATATATTTTGGATAGTGCCTTTGATAATATGCAGTTATAAGGCACCTGACTTTTCAATTTTATTTTACTTAAAACCATAGCTACTAGAATATTCTTCATTAGTTTTGTGGCTTGAATTTCATCTGTATAAAAGTAGAGTCTGATCCTGGCCACTTATCACCTAGCTGCTGGCCACCAGGACCAGCTCATCGACTCAAATCTCTTACAAAATAAGATAGCTGAAAATGTCATCCATATCCACTAACAGATTGGCATCCTGCTTTTTTCCCCCTAGTTTTTTTCAAGAAACAAGTCCTTCCCATATGGCTGAACAGGTTGCAAACTGCACAAGAATGACACATCCAAGGGACAGGGTGCTGTTCATGCCACAGATATTGCAGATTTGTTTATTTTTCACTGTCTTATCCTGGCACATGGCAGTGAGAGTCTTGTTCTGACAAGATGGGTATATTACAACGAGCTTCTAACAGGAGGGACCAGGGTGCATGGATGAGGGACATGCCACTTTCTGATTCACAAAACTGTGGCAGGATTGTTGGCCCTAGCAGAACCCTGAGGCTTGCCTGCTTCTTCTCTTAATGAGTTGCCTTCTTGGTTTGGCCTTTATCCCTGCCAGAGGCCTGGTGTATACAGTACAAGGGCTTCAATGAACACACTGCAGCCTCAATCGTCCGAAGCACCGTTTACTGCCATGTGAGAGGGACCCCACAACCAGCCAGCCCCAGGCTCGGGGTTGACCCAGGAAGGCCCACTTACCTTTTCATTTTTCTTGTCATCTGGCTTGTACCCTGTGTTGATGGGGCTGGGTATGGACAGGCCACCGATGGGTGTCCCTCCAACCTCCCCACCGAGGTTGGCAGCACTGACATTGGGGGGTGTGATGGCAGACGCTGCTGATGTGAAAGGGATGGCTGTCCGGGGACACATCTGTGTCGGGGGCTGCTGGCTGTGCTGTGGGGACACCACGGAGCGGGGTCGGAGGCTGGTGGCAGGCAGACGGGATGGAGACGTCTGAGTTCGCAGGGGCGACACGGTGGCGGTTGGTCGGTCCAGGGCCTGGGCTGAGGGATGGGTAGCTGAAGAGATGATGGATTGAAAGATTAGTGCACATGGCCATGTGATCACAGTGCAATCTCTTTTCTCGTGCTTGATCTTTGACCTCTGAGGATTCTGAATACTCCAGACTTGGCTACCATTGCTAGAGGAGAAGCTGAATTGGATTTTCTTTACTCCGACTCAGCAAAGTCCTTATCTGAAGCATCCCAGGGCATGCCAGGCCATATTAATCCAGTGTATTCTCATAGTTTTATCATACTTACTGTAATTGTTTTTTACCACCAAAACTTGTACTATTCCTGACTTCAGAAATATGAGAAAAGTATACAATATAAGCAATATCTTCAAGCTCCAACATGCCACGACTACAAAATACACTTGGAAATCCTAACAGTGCTGTGGGTTGGAGGCCTCTCCATACCACATTCCAGGTCTTTGGCTGTAAGCTGGCCTTTTCTCTGATACCTGCTAGGTAGGACATCTGCAGTGGTGTTAAGGCTACAGGTGATCCTGCATATATGAGGCAATACAGAACAAGGTTGAGGTATGTGGTTGCAGAGGGGCTGGGAACTTAGCATTTGGACATCCTGGACATTATACCTTGTATCTTGAGGGAAAGGCCCAGTGATTATACAAGATCACTGAGGTCATTCATCACTCTGGGACTCTTGACTAGGACCGTGGTCTCCTAGGCTTTGCCTCCTACCTGAACCCTCCTTTACCCCAACCTATCAGTCCTTGAGAGGAAGTGACAGCAGCCAGCCAAAAGCCATTGCCCTGGAGCCCCGGAAACCCTTGTCTCTAGGGCTGCTCAGGGCATCCCATGCAGCCTCATGCTCTGCCTTCTAGAAAGATACATCCAATCAATGAAGATGCGCGGTGTGACCACCATCTGAAAAATTTCAAAGGTCTCCTCCCATAGATACTTAGTGCCACTTAACAGTCTATATAATTCATTCATTTATCATGTCACTTGTTCCTTGTCTCTCACAACACTGGCAGCTCATCTCTGGGAGCCTGGGAAAATGGTTGTTTGATTCACTAGTATAATACATTCTATATTCCTGGAATGGTGCCAGGCATGCACGAGGTACTTAATGTAGTTTTTAATGAGTGAGTGATTCCTTGAGAAGAGAGAACTCCCAGCTGAAGCATCACCAATCATTTCATAGAGATTAATCACTAGAGAAGAAAAAAATGTCCAATGACACAGGCATGGCTCATTGCACAGGCTGCCTACATTCTGACTCACCAGCGATCCTATTAGTTAGCAATGGCAAAGCAGCTACATAGACTTTGAGGACTCAAGCCAGCAGAAAAGGCTGGTAGAGAACGCACCTTCCCGAGGGTGGTCCTCCTCTCCTTCTTGTCTGTTGGTCTTTGGTTTGCACTTTGGTGACACCATGGTCTTCTCACTAACACCAGTCCTCCCCACTCAACTCCCTGATCTGTCCCCAGTACCTGGAATCACCCTGGAACTCATCTAGTTCTGGAATATTTTCTGTGACTATGCTTTTGATGCTCCTGTCTCTGTGTGTTATCCTGGAGGCTTTCATCACACAGTGTGTGCTGCCCCCTCTCATTTTCTAAAGTTCCTTAAATAAGGAGCAGATACTGGGTTCCCGGAAATGCTTCCTTGTTTTTGAGATAATCACGTTATTTTAGTCATTATCAAGATGAAGTATATAGACTGTTCATGTTGATCCAGCCTTGCACTCCTGGGATAACCCCATGTGGGATAACCCCATGTGGGATAACCCCATGTGGGTACTAACCTATGCATTTGCTGCCCAGTTAAATACAGTCTGTGAATCTATTGTCTTATCATTTTTAAAATTAAAGCTGGCTTTATGGAAAAGGAAAATAAGTATTTTCCCCCTTCCCCCAATTTTCTAGGCAAGTGCAGCGAGATGTTTTATTACTGTCCCGCTGTTTTATATTTGAATTTAAATGTTATAATTTCTCTAATGAACTCACATGTCCCCATGTCCCCATAACTTCCTTTGTGGGTTTTAAAACTAGAAACTCAGTTTCTTTTATAGATAGAGGCCTGTTCAAGCTCTTTCTGATTGAATATGTTCGATGATTTATGTCTTTATTAAGGACTATTGGAATATGTTCATTTCATCTATCAAGTGAACTTACACAAATATATTACAATAATTTCTTATTATCTGGTAGACTCCAAAATGATGCCACTTATGTTATTTCCGGTGACGTTGACTTTCATAGTTTTCCCTTTTTACTTAGTGCAGGTGGCTGGAGGTTTATTAATTTGATTACTGACCTTCTCAAATGGCTTCCTTTTAGCTTAGTCAATTTTACTCCTACTTCTGGCTCACTCTGCCGATTTCTTCCCACTCCCTTGCAGTTAGTTCATCACTCCATTTAGCCTAGAGGCTGTGAACCGGATAACCTTTTTTCCTCTCATAGATATCCCGTGCTGCAAATTCCCTCTCGAAGATTGCACTGGCTGCCTCCTACACATTTTTAATGTGTGTGTTCCTACATACTCATCTCAAAATGTTTTCTACTTTTATTTCTTCCTTGATCCACTGATCATTTGAAGTATGTTATGTTTTCAAACAACTATTTGTCATACTGGTTTCCAAGTCAACTCCACTGTGGTTAGGGATGTAGCCTACATGACCCAAGCCCCTTTACAGGTACTGAGATTTTACATATCATGGCCCAGCTCTGGGTTAGCATGGCAATGCTATTGTTACACACTTGAAAATAATGTGTATTTTGGTGTTGACAGGTAGGATATTCACTAAAAGCTAATTAAAATTAAGTGGTTATGGCTGTACTAATGATCTATACTATTACCAATAGTTAATACAATTTTGAAAGAGACAGCAATCTTACCTTTGTGGATTTCTCTATTTCTGTCAGCAGCTTTATCTGTTGTTGCTTATGTGTTTTTTAAGCTTTATAATTTGGTGCATTAATACTAAGAATTGTTATGCTATCTTAATGAACGCAGTCTTTGCTATTATGTAGTTGTCATTATCCCCAATGATTCGTGGCTATAAATTCTCCTGCCTGACATTAATAGATCAATTTTCTTTCGATTAATATTAGTATTAGCATGGCACATCCCATCCTCATTACTGACAGAATCTATATTTGCATATTGTTCCACTAGCTATAACTGACTTACAACTTCCAAGTCAATACCTTTGGTCCTCTCCTGGCCATTTTGAAATGTGAAGCATAGTAAACTATTTAAGCTTCCTTGGAGTTTGACTGAGGTGACTCTGCTCTCAAGCAGAGGTGACAGGAGGATGGAGCCATGGTGGACAGAGATTTGAATCTCACCTCTGGCAGCTGAGGGTGGGACTTCCTTAGGCCTGTCATCTCATTTTCTCTTCAATAAAATAAGGGACATGGAAGCAATTATGATAAGGCTGTCGTCTCTATGAGATAAGTATCTACACATGTGTACCTGTGCACACACGCACTGTTTCATTCATGAGATACAGCAGCACAGCTGCAGTCATCCAGTGTCCATGCCACAAGTGGCAGGAACATGTAGCTCCTGCCCTCTCCTTTTAGTCCTGACTGTGACTTTCAAGTAGGAAAGGGTGTGTCTTGTTAATAGCACAAGTTGGTGTGGTTTTCGTTTGCTTGCTTTTAACAAAATCTGAGAACACAATCCCAGCTCTATATGTACTATTTAGGCCATTTACTTTTAATGTGATATTTGTATGATTAAGTTTAAGCCTATCATTGTACTACACCTTTCCTCTTTTATCTAGGTATTCTTTATTTCCTTCTGCTATTCTTACCTTTCTTTGGCACTAACTGAATGTTTCTACGAAATGACTTGTCTCCTTTACTGCAATGTTCTGTTTCTATGTGGAATGGGTGCTTGCATCTTTCTGTTATTGCTGCCTTTCACCAGCCACCTTTCACCAGCAGCCTCTCACCATCATACAGCTCTTCCAACACAACGGAAGAGCTGACACCAGGATGCAGCACTTCCCTTTCTCCCCCGACTCTGTCTACTTGTTACTATAGATTTTAATTTTATATGAGTTTAAATCCCATAGCGATATTGTCTTGATTGCATTTAAACTGTCCATTGTATTTTAAAGATTTTTAAACAAGGAAAAAAACTTATACTTTTATTTATGTAATTACCATTTTTCAGTGCTTTTCATTACTCTGCAATGTGGATCTCTATACTTTCAACTTCTTTTGAGCAAACTTCGAACAGTTCTAATAGTGTAGCTCTATTTCTGACAATATATGGGAGTTTCACTGTATCTGAATGATTTTTTTGTTCAGTCTTTTTTCTCAATATATGTTTTTATTTAAATTAGAAACGTGAATGTTTCACATGTCAGTCCCAGCTCCCTCTCCCACCCCTCCTCCCTTGTCCCTCTACCAGCCCTCTGAATGATTTTTACTTTGCTTTTATTTTATTTCTTTGAAGATCATTTTTGTGGGTATAGAATCAAAGATTGATGAACACATTTCAGTTTTTCCCCGCTTACTCACTTGGTTTCTTTACATAATACCTACAATAGTCCTATCTTAATTGCTACTAACATATTATTTCTCTGGCTATTTTTAAAATTTCATTTATCATTGATTTTGAACAATTTGATTATAATTTTCTTTGGTGCCATTTAAAAAAACTTCTTCTGTTTCAGAGTCCACTAAATGCTTGAAGAAATAAGTTAATAATTTTCATCAAACACAGCCACTGTGGTCATTGTTCCTTCAAATTATATTTCTACCCTGCCTGTTTGTCTTTTAACAGTTCAAATTATATACATAGTGGGTCGTTTAGGGTGGTCCCACCATTCGCTGACACTCTGTTAACTTTTATGATTTTAATTTTTTTGAGGATTTCACGGATAAGTACTGTATTTAAATCATTTCCACCCCTTCTTAACTCTCTTCCAACTCATGTTCCTCTTTCAAAGTCATCATCGCGTATTTAATTATTCCACACACACGCACACATGCATGCACACACACAGTCCATTTAGTGGCTGACCAAATGGGA